ATTGGTTATTACTCACCAACTTTTCAAGGTACTACTACACGCAACTATATGGAGATTTTCACATTTATGAAGACGTAGTACAGATATAGCTTAACGTATGATTACATTCACTACGTACTATAATCACAAATTAAATTCTTGACAGCTTGACAGAAATTATAGGCTGATAACTCGTTATTATTGTACATCGAGACAAATATTTTTTTTAACTTCATTACTCTGTATATTTATGTTATATAATTGTACTATTATGTTTAAAGGTGCTTCTACATAACTTGCAAATCGCAAAACGTAGTTTGCAAACGCAGACGTAGAATGACGATCACCGCACGCAAAACACACTGCATGCAATGAAAAAACAAATGCAAATCTTCATTCTGCTTCTGCGTTTTGCGATTTGCAAATTATGTAAAAACATCTTTATAGATATAAAGTTGTGAACATGCTCCTCTTAGAAAAAACCGTTATATAATAATTTATATAATTATTATATTATATAACGGTTTTTTCTAAGAGGAGCACGCACACTTGGCGCCTTTTTATAAATTATTATACTCGCTTGTATGTGCGCGCCTTGAATAACTTCTTATTCCAAACCTATTCCAAACTATGAAAATATACAGTGCCCGCCAAAAATACCGGGCCGGCTGAATATCTCGGAAAGTATGGATTTTTGAGAAAAATGTTTTAGACAAAAATTGTAGGGTTTAAAGAGATCTATTAATGATTTTATCAGTTTGACCTTGGGTGGCGTCGCTAGACCAAGCCAAGTTTGTTAACCGCGCCAAGTTTTTTTATATTAAAATTTTTTTATTTTAATTAGATACTCTTATTTTCACGTATTTTTGTTTAAAAGTAGTTATATAACATTAATGTTTCAACGAAATGTATTTTCTGTTTATAATTGGCGTAATTTAACGATTTTACATATTTTTGAAAAAAATTATTATTATATATATTTTTTTTCATAGTTTGAAAATTTGGAATAGGAAGTCATTTTTTCTTCGAAGAGCGCACACACAAGCAAGTATAATAATTTATGTAACGATTTTTTCTTATTTTTACTTTATTTTTACTTTTTTTTGAAAAGGTAAATTTGTTATATCACGTATTTTTTAGTATACTAGACATAACAAGCGCGTGCTTCGCGCGCGCTATTGAGCTTTTAATATTATATATACAAATATGCATATAATATTTATTAATCGATTACATTTAACCTTCAATACATATAACAATCAAACGCGCGATCTCCGCAATGACAGCTGCTCACGAAGTAAGGACAGCGAGAAAATCAAATCGACACGAAGTTACGTACGCGATGCAATCAAGTTCCAAGCAATCATCCGCATCGCGGAAAAGGGGCAACAATGAATTCGACTATCGATTCAGCATCCCAATTTTATTATAGGAGGATATCAACGAGATAAACGCGATGAGATATCGTGATGAGGTATCGCGCGATGACTGCACTATCCGTATAGACAATCCGATGATCTACCAGAAAACCAATGAAGAATTGAATATCCTCCGTTGAGTGTCCTCGCCTGATTCCTTTGCTTATGGATCTTCTCGGTATCGTCTTTCATCCTTGTGACATAGTCAATAGGTGATACTACATAAAACCCAGATAGATAAAAAGATGTCTTTTAGATTTCTAAAAGACTTCTCGCCATATCTTGCGATATCTTGCATTTTTTACGAAAAAATATCTTTTAGGGCTCTAAAAGATGTCTTATGCAACAGTTTAAGATATCTTTCAGATATCTAAAGATATCTAAAGGCACAAAATATCAACGCCATAACCATTTTGTCCAGGATGATGTCCATATTTGCAGGTACTATTGAAAACATCAAACCAGTCATTGAATAGCTTTATAAATTTAGCTGTTGCAGCCCATTCTGGACAATTGTCCATAAATCCACAGGAACCACACCAGTCAATTGCGGCTGCGTTTGTTGCAGAGAAAAGTTGTGTTGCCAGTTTCACATTTTGGCGTTATGGTCCTTGAACGTGCAAATGAGTTTCTCACAATTTGTGTGCAATTTTTAAATCGCCGCTGTTGATTTTTAATAATCTTTTCAAGGTTATCGATGTTATAAAATGGTCATTTACGTACAATCCGGAATCAAGAAAATGATTGCGAAGTAATTTTAGCAGATAAGGAGGGTCCATGAAAACATATACCTTTATACATTCATCATATGGATGTTCGAAGTACGTCTTATCCTTCTCGTTTGCATCAATACTTAATTTTATCAATAATTTTTTATTCAATGGTCCCAAATCAGGTTATCACGAATACTGTATAGCCATTATTATGTAATTGAGTAAGTATATAATATTTCTTTTGTCATATCCTGATCAAAAGCGTAGAAAAAAAAATGGGCTGTTTCCATTTTTTAAATAAACCGCGAGCGATAACGACTTGGCATCTTTTATGAGGTCCAAGGACTCTCTCCTTTCTTTTTTCAATTTGAACTTGGTTTGACAAATAAATTTCGTTAAAGCAGAGAACCGTCGCTCTCTCCATTTCTGACATGTCTCGACTTTTTTCTTTCATTATTGCTAATACGTCTTTTAAGATGCCTTCGTCAATGTTGAAATCTGCTATCCATTTTCGAAGGGTTGACATTGCAGGTAAAGGAAATTGTTTTGTTTTTCTCAGATATCTATAAGCTTTTGGGCTTACGCTTTTTAACGAAATTACAGCCGCAATATCCTCCTTAGTCCAATGAATCTTCTTCTGCTTTGGATTTAAAAGTATTTTTATTTGTCCTGGCGTGAAAAACGGAGATAACTTGTCCTGCATTTCCTGTGTCAACTGCTTTTTGTGCAGTTTATCTTTCAAAGCCAGTCGATGTTTAAGGACTTTCGTTTCCAGACGTAAGGTTTTCGTTTTCAGACGTAAGGTTTTTGTTTTCAGAAGTAAAGCTGCATTTCTGTGTTGTAATTTTTGCATTTCCTGAGAGATATCTGCCTCAGCATAAAAGAAGAAATATATTATTATAAAAAATAAAAAATTAAAGTTAATAAAAAATTGAAGTATTAATTACATTTGTTGTAAAAGCAAATTAAACATTTAGGCAAACTTTTTTTTAACCATTTATGTAAATAATAAATAATTAAGAAACAGTTGAAATACAATAACAGAACGTACCAAAGTTAGGAACCACTGCAGTATTCAGTGCAGTTTGAGTCGCACAGCTCGATGCAGAGGTCGACACAGCACAATCCGTATCTGGATTAAATGGGCAACAGATTGCAACATCTGCTTCTAAAAATATATTTAATACATAAAAGAAGGCAAAGTACAAAACAAGTACTGTTGGTATATATTATATTATAAAAATTATCGCTTGAAATGCTTAATGTTATAATAATCACTTTAAATGTTAAAAATGGACTATATGTATATCCAAATCATTATCCATGGAAATTTGGTTGTTCTCTATGGCTGTCAGTAGAACTGCATCATGTCTGAGTCTTACTCGTACATTCCCAGATTATCCAATTAAATCTTTTAACCACGATTGATCTTCAAATTGTAAATGATGAAAATGTTCCGAATAGACATGAGCTAGACAAATCAATAATACACTTAATAAATCAATTTCAATTATATTTTATTAATTACAATATCGTGTGTTAACTACAAATAATCATACCAACGAATATACATACCGATTTTAGGATTAACATTTTCTTTGCACATAAGTTTCCACCTTTCGATCATTTCTGTTTTCTTCGGAAATGTAAAAAAATTAGATATATGATGTATATGAAATTTCATTATAAATAATAATAAATTATTTAGAACACATATAATACTAAAGACAATACCTATGAAAAATATTTTTCTTAATAGTTTCTTGTATACCTATATACTCTAAATTCTTTGGAGTGGAATCTCACTCTAGAATGAAAATTGAGCCAGTTTTGAAAAAAAATAGCTCAATTTTCAATCTTTAAAAATGAGATTCGATTTAAAAGTTTTAGAGAATACTTTATCAAATCCCATATATCAAAAATGGATAGACTATAAATACGTCCATCATTGCATTCATTATCGTCAATACATTTTCGTGCGTGTAATTTTCATATACTTGACAATATACAAAATTTTGAACACATATAGACATATGTAATATGAAAAATTGACGAGACGTTAACCCGACGTAAAAAATCCAAAAAAAATCGTATCACTTGGTTGGATAAGAACCAAAGTGATAAGTCGAGTCCATTTAAGCAATAAACTATCATGCGCGTGATAAGACAATCTGGTGGTTAAGAAAAAAAGAGACACGTTTGACAATATTTGTAATCATACGAATATTTCAATCTTTAACACTACTTAAAAAATTTCATCAGTTTCGAGATAAATGTTAAGCAAGGTGCCCTTGACTGACCTCTAAAATAACGGTTCTCAATGCAAGACTTGCGCGCTCGCATTCGTGGACTTGCTCGTCTACTGATCGATATGTCGTCATCTATCCTCGGCAAACTGCCTAGTGACGATATTACATCTACAACGCCCTCCTTCCTGGTCTCTGGATAACTCATCAGTTCATCATCACATGGTACGCCAAGAACGTAACAGACACGTGCTGCCAAATGTGAAATAGTATAGCGGTCTCCCAGTTCAAGAAAATTGCTCAAACACTAAACTCTTTTTCGTAAAATAATATTTCTAATCAAAGATAATCACGATCTATGAAATAAATGTTATTCGGTGTTATATTCTATCAGCAATAGTTTTTGATAAACGTTTAATAACAATAATAATAATAATAATGCAGCCAAAATAATTGAATTATGTTTTATATTACATATTTGTCTGTATAAATTTATATTACATATTTGTCTGTATAAATTTATTGGTTATTTTGTAATAACCAATCAGTTAATTTCCGCCTTGTCTTTGACAATGTCGTAAAGTTGAGCACCCTCGTGTACAAGAGTTAGAGCGCACGCGCGCGATAAACACACAATCAGACTTTGAAACCGACAACGGCTGGCGTAGCCTTTCTCAGTCACACACCAACCATCAGGTGGATTATAACAGGCGTTCGTGCAGTTTCCACGTACGAATTGGTCCTCATTTACAATTAGGTGAGTTCACGTATCGCCTCGTTTTTACGACGGAAAAAATTGTGTATCCATGGTACGTGCCCTTTTACTCGTACCTCCCTAGGTATTGATCGTTTCGTATTGCCTCAAGGAATATCTGAAATTTTGTGCTTAACCTATCTATAACGACCTTTGACCTTGACTGACATTTCGTCGTCACTATTGTCGTACGCGACTTATCCGCTTGCTATTCAATGACAAATATCAATGACAAATATCGCTTTATATTACCATCAAAATTCTTATATTCTCTGTCATGGCTTCAAAATTATTATACGCGCTTGCCACACGTATGACCTACTCCCACTATACATGAGTATGTAAGAATAATTATTAAATAACATCTCTTTTAAAAGAAATCTCTTTTTTTTTTACAATGCAAATGTCTCGATAAATGTAGTCGAGTCCGAGCAATAAATTGGAGCAGTTTTCCTTACAAGTTCATTATTCCAGTTCATTATGTCAACTTCAATGGTTGAACATACATATATATTATATTACTATAATATAATCGTATATTAACAAATATATAACATCTGTACTCCAATAGAGGCAATATAGAAATATTTTATTATAAAGTAAACTGAAAATAACAAAATTATCGAAAAAATATATACAGTGAAAGTAAAAAGTATTCATATAAGGAAATCTGTTATAAAAAAAAGTCTTATTTGTAGAAAATAAACATTAATTAGCAATTTTATACAAAAAATGAATATATTCGATTTTAACATAACAAACGAGTTTTGCATGTATTTCTGATTTTAGAAGCTAAATTTCTTTTTGAACAGCCAAACAATACAATTTTTAATTTTTGTTTATTTTTCAGATGATATATTTTTTATAATTAATACACATCTTTTTAGTATATATAATTTTAAGTAAATATACAGTTTAAATAACATACAGTCTATTTTATTCTTTATGAATAAATTGTTAATTACCCAACAAGAAATGATCGTCAATTAAACGTCGAATCGACGTCAAATTGGTGTTGAAATCATCATATCTATATCGATTTGATATCAATTCAATAAATCATTTGTCGGCGGATGATATTTACTTTTTAAAAATAAAATTTTTTTTTTAATATTTTCTCTGTACGAATACTTTTTGCACTCACTGTACATATTTCGATAAAAAAAAATGCGTTTAATATTTGTAATCTACACTTATAAAATTATTCTTATATACAGGTTATTCTTATACAGGGTGTAACTGAAATAACGCCCACTAATCATATAGTGCTATTCCTAATAAAAAACTGAGACGAAAAGTCCTCTACTATTTTGCAATTTTCGCAATATTTTTTTTAGTTACCCAATGAGCAAAATGTCTAAAATCGATATACCATGGTATAAGACAGCTTTAAGATATCTTTAAGAGTTCTTTAAGAAAAATCCTCAAAATATTTCACAAAGAACATGGAAAGATATCTCAAAATTGTTTTATACATCGATTTTATCCGTAAATATAATGAAAATCTTAAAATGAATTTTAAGATTTTCATTATATTTATTAAAAAAGCGCATAGTGTACATACATAAAAATAAATGTAACTTTTCCATTATGTAAATTAGAGAAATAACTGTGCCTTAAAGAATTATAATAAGATCGAATATTATATCATAATATTACATAATAATGTAATATTATGTCATTTTTATTAAAGAGTCGGAAGAATTTTTCCACGTGCAGTTGTGTACGTACAGCATCAAGTACAGTAATACACACTGCACAATGTATCATGATAGGTAATAAGGTATGCTCGTATTCCGTTACATGATCAATAATTTAAAGCGCTCTCAATCTCGTCAACCTCCTCTCAGAAAATTTGGAAGATTCTTTTATTTTCGGAAATTTACCATTGGCTCAACACTAATCTATTTAGTAATTTATTAAACGTACTAATAATTTAAATATAAAACATTAAATCACAGAGGAAATATCTATCTAATTTAATAGATAAAACATTAAATTAGATTAATTTATTAAAAAGCTTCAGCAAATGCTAAAAGGCAAAATAAAAATTGGTTATTACTTACGAACTTTTAATTAATGTAAGTAAAATTATTATTAGTTTATTAATATTAATTACGCGATCATTACATGGAGTAAAATGTTTGGTTGAATTAACTGGGGTGGAAAAATATGAACGATCCAGAATTCGACTTAAATCTACTAGAATTCTAGTTGAGATAACCAACATTCAAAATTTCTTTGATGATTAAATCTACTAGAATTCTAATAGATTTAACCAAAAATGTAATAGATTTAATTAGAATTCTAAATCCTTCATTTTTCACCAGAATTCCAGTTAATTCAGCCAAATATTTTTCCCTGCGTATATATATATATATATATATATATGTACATACATATAAAAGTTATCTATAAACAAATATCGTTTGTGCAATCCGATGCCTATATGCGTGAACATACAGACAGTTATTTTGACAGACGACGAAATAGTATACAAATTATTAATATACAAATTATAATTAATAGTATACAAATTATTAGTGAAACACATGTACGCACGCATATATGTTAGACAGTATGTCGTATGTATGTATATATAGAAGCAAATACTCAACCGGAAATAATTGATTGTCAGTGTATACTGCCACATGCAGGAAAATGGTTGAATAGTTTGTATTTTACAAGACTAGTAAAAATATTCTGGCTATTTTCGCTGAACTTATGACAAACTTTACTTGGCTAAAAGTAACCCTACTAAAAAAAATTACGTCACAAAGTTATATAACGAAACCATGTAATTTAGACAAATAAATCGACTAACGAATTTAAAAAATCAGTACGTGATTTTTTAAAATCATGTAATTTGAAAAATTATACATGATATTAGAAATAATTTCATCCATAATGTGATTGTATAGTTATCGAATTTTAAAAAATTAAATGATAAAAATAGGAGCAAAAAACATCATCATGTGACTTTTCAAATTATGTAATTTTAAAAATCACGTATTGATTTAGAACAATTCATTATGTGATTTACTTGTCTTAATTACATGATTTCGTTATGTAACTTTATGACATAATTTTTCCAGTAGAGAAAAAATATCGGGGATATAAGAAAGTACATTACAATTATGGTAATCCAGTCAAGTGACTATTACCTTACAGTGTAAAGTAAATTATACTATATTCTCAAGATTGTAAGCACAAACATCTCTCAAGACTTAATTTATACATTTGTATTTTTTTTTACTGTGCAGTAAAGTAAATTTTGATAATGCTAAAGTAAAAAAATACTCGTCGATAAAGTAAATTCTATTGAGATGTATGATAAATTTATAGAGTTACTTTTGTGAAATGTATAAAGTACCTTACGATATAGATCGCTTATTTACCAGAAAAGTAAAGTAAATTTTACATAAGTAGGGGCCTTATATGGAGTTCTGTCAATTTCATAAAATTTACTAGAATTTTAATGTATATATTACTTTACATTTTTTTCTGTGTATACATTCTATCAAAATCATTTATCGTTTTTTGTTTATTATAATTTTTTACGTAAGAATACTCATTTTTGCCATGTTATAATAATATAATTACTACTACAATTACATACAACAATTATAAAATGTAATAGCATCAAAAAATTTCTGAAAATCTCTAAAAAGAAGAAGATAAACTTATACATAAAATGCATCACAAAGACGTTTATATTTTGAATTTTTCTACATATAATGGTAAAAAATTAATACACATTTTCTCCAATTCTGACAGTTGTAAACATCATTTATTTCATATCAGTAACGTGTGAGCTATTTCGAGTTTCACTAGAAAGTAGTTTGATAATTCATTCACCTCGCACTTTTCTTCAATAATTCTGCATGGCGACAGCTTTCATAAAAATACAGTTGGTCTAAATATATCGTATCGTTATGCAGTCTGGCGAGTTACCAACTTCTGTGTCTACATCGTGCATTTGTTTCGCGCTGATGATGCAATTTATGTCCGCATATGTGTGCACCACTTAAAGAAAAACTCTTAAATCTTTCCTTTCACTTTCTGAAGTTTGTCATGATGCAGAATTCATAAATAGATATACATTACAAATCTATTTTATTATCTAATATTTATAGAATGGATTTTATTGTCGACCTCAAGAGTGAGAATTGACTTCCTGGCTAAGGAGATGTTAAATTCAAACGTTTTTCTTAGCGAAATGAGATGAGATAAAGAGCTAATAACATAAAGAGAGACTCACCATGAGATCCACAATTTACAGAGATGTATAACAAAGATACATATATTCGTTGAATCAGTTCAATAAAAATTACATTTAGTAAAAAGTTTAGAGCAATAAAACTGAGAGCTTTCTCAGCATAAAATTCGTGATAGCAGTCGAATACACTTTACTCTTTGTAATGTCGTATTTCTTCGTGTTTGTTTTAGCCTTAAATTTTCATCTTTAGTTCTGCCGCATGATATATTCTAAGTTTTTTGAAATTATCAAGAATACAGTAATATTCAACACAGCGCTTATATACTTACGCATATAAATAATGCATTATAAATAATCTCAACAGAGTATTGAAATTACTCTCCATGCACATATAATAAAATTAACTAAATTATTTACTTAAAATAGCATATTATATCAATATATATTTTTTACTGTTCATCGTTATTTGTTATTATTTTTTATTGACTCTCTTCTTTTCGGCGATAAACATTGTTAATTTACGATTTAAAAATTAGAATTTTGAAGATCGACGGTCTTTTTTTTAAATTAAGGTTTTAATCTCACAAAAGAAAGAGAAAATATTAAAGTATATATTATTATACAGATATTAAAGTATTATAAATACATATAGAGAGAAATTTTCCTATGTGTGGTTGCATTAAATTGATTAAATCCTTCAATTTTACAAATAAAAAATGTACAAAGGTATATATGTGTATACATATATTATTTTCGATCAATCTAATCACTTCCCGCCAAGATGAATATCTCCAGCATTCAACTGTAGAATTTCTTCAGAATAAAATCATGATTGATTAAAACTTACAGACAATATTAACCGATAATGAATGAAGCGATTTAATGCCGCGAAAGATCCGTCAAGACTAGTACCGGTGGTAGAATTTCGACACGACGGCGGAGTTGCGATGTTGATGTTTCAGCCATCTCAGATCGTATGAGAATTCAAGATTCAGGGTGAGCAGGGGTTTATCGAAATGCGCGCTCACGTCACGCGCGGAGGACATCTGCGCGTGCTGCCTAAGCCTAGCTGCATTGCGGCTAGCTCATCCTCTCCTTCCTTGCCAATACGTACGACGATATGGAATACATATAATGGCCTTCCGCCACCCTCAAATATTCTCGCTTGCTCTCGCAAGCCTACCTCTCTTCGTTTCCCTGTCCTTGTGATCACAGTACTGCACTGCAGCCAGTATCCTAACAAGGTACACCCACTCTATATCTGCGCCAGAATTGGCGGGGATGCATCGAGGATGACTCGCGGCAGTAGCCTCAGTCGCGGTCGTTAGGCCGCACGTGAATTCATTCGTTGAGTAACGCGACGCAACGGGCGAGATGTAGTCGAGAGACATTGAACCGCGGGACCTATCGTCCCTTATACCTCGGTGCACTGTGTCCACGATACGCGCTTTATCTTCTCGTTATCTTATTCCCGATTTATTGAATTTTCTTTTTGAGTTCTCTCTCTCTCTCTCTCTCCCCCTCCTATTCCCCTCTCCTCTCCCCCTTTCTTTTTTTCTCGTAACGGTCAATAATTATTAAAGATTGCCCGCCGTTCTTATCATTGTAGTTGCGTTTCTCGTTGATGGGGGTGGAAAATATCGACGAATGATATAAACGCGTTCATCAGTTGTGACGTATAATTACGGTGCCTATACGTCCTTTATTTTAGAAAGCTGTCCTTTAGATTTATTTGTTTGTTCAAAACTCAATTTTGTCTTTTATTTTCCAATATTGTCCTTTACTATCCTTTATTTTGACATTACGGAAAATTCTTTTTTAGCGTTTCAACGTCTATACTATATACCATAATATTATATTAATGAGCAAATTTTTACGGAAAATATTTTACAGTTTCATACATAAATATAATATGTTTTTGTTAATTATATTTCTTAATTTTTTAAATTAAATTTATTCAAACTAGCGTTGTTTTTATTTTTTATTATTTCGAACTTTTTATTATTTCAGATCGAGGGTTTGTTCCAATACAATCGAACCAGTTTCAAACTATCAGAAAGCTGCGTATTATCTTAATTTGATTTTAGTGTGCAATAAAATTTTATGATGCACAAGATTCTTGACAATCTGTTGTTCCTGACAAACTAGCTGGTTTGAAAAGATGTAGGAACAAAGCCCTAAAATTTTCAGATTTGTTTTATTTTCTTCAAGAAAATATGGTCACCGTACGTATAATTATTACGATAGCATCATAATCGCAACGATCATCTTTTATGATTCCATTGCAACGTGAATATGCATCGCGTTTATTATTATATGGCAACATACTTAACTAACACCCTGTATATTGTTATGCCTTACGTAGTCCGCTGACAATTATTTGCAATTGACTTAGGTTTATACTTCGACATAATATATAATGTATAACGTACCTACCTACGTGAATTTTGTTAAATTCCATATATGACCTACGAAACGTTGCACAATCATTCTACGTAATTTATTATTTGAATACCGATAAAGTCGACGAATAAGTATGTGTATTGATATTAAATACACATATACGGAGAGAAATTTTTTTTTAATTTACCCTGAAAATATGGTACAATACAATATTTCAAAGATTTTTATCATGCACTTCAATAAAATTAATCAAACTTATTTTATATTTTATTATAATTTTATATTAATGAATGAGAGAAATTTATATAAAATTCTTCAAAATACAATCGAACGATAAGCGTTGTCTCAGGACTATCATATTTTCAGGATAAATTCTAAGAAAATTATTCCGTGTAGGAATAATAATTTTTTATCAAAGCGTTGCATGCAGTTACATCAGTTTCGTAAATTGCATGCTGCGTTAACTTGCGTAAATATGATAACTTTAATGACTTATTTTGTATCAACAAATGATCACAAGCAGTGATAAAAAGTAGATGTGTAACAGATCATTATACAACACAAAATAAAATAAAATAACAGTCTTATATATAGCACTATATAAGATATAAGATTTGATAAAACTTTGTTCTCATATAAACTATATATATATTTTTTTTGTTCAATTGGAGATTGGTGCATTTTCTTTTAATAAAATTGTGATCCGGAACTCATTAAGACTATCCTTATTTAGAATTTCAACGCATTTCCAGATCGTCATGGTTTTAATGAATTAAATGAACCTTTACTTGCAAAAAATTTGTTTTCTCTTCGCGGAGAAAAATAGCGGAACGTGAGAACTCTGTTGCTTCAATGCGTAGTCTGATTCCGGTCTTACAGATCACCGAGTAATCAAATTCTTTTTGGTGAATTGATGATTTTGGGGAGTTAGCAATATCAAATGACCTATATAAGTAGATATATTTTATTTATTATATTTTTAGAAGGGTGGAGAAGGGGGTTACGATTGTTAACAATTCAAGTTAATTTTGTGTGGTTTATTTCAATTTTCGATTGATTAGGATGCAGTTTGCTCAAAATATATTACGAGGATTCATAATTTTTACTAATTGTAAAAGCTTAACTCGACACAATTATATAATTGAATAATGAAGTATTCTTCGCATTTTGCAGAAAATGGTTGCGGAAAAGTATAGCAAACTTGAACCCGAGCTGAAAGAAGAATTACGCACGATCGCCCAGCAGATCGTGACACCTGGTAGGGGTATCCTGGCCGCTGATGAATCGACTACAACGATTGGCAAACGTTTTCAAGATATCAACGTCGAAAATACTGAGGAAAATCGCAGGGCTTACCGACAACTACTTTTCACTACAGCGAAAGTACGTTTAGATAATGATTAATAAAGAACTTGCATAAAAATTAACTTGTATAAACATTTAATTTATATAGGGTGTCCCATTTTAATGCCTCCCCCCCCCAAATAACTTTTTTATTTTTGATCTTAGAAAAAAATGTTTCAGACAAGCTGTATGACTTTGAGGGGGACATAAGATGGTGTCATTAATTTGACCTTAAATAGTTGCTTGAAAGCCACGTGAAGGTTTCAATTTCTTAAACGAAACCCCCTACTTTTTATTGCACATACTTGTGCAATCATCTCGAGAGCTTTCCAAAACACCATAATGAAATATCTTTTCGTTAAGTACTTGTTAAGTTATAAGGCAAGATCGGGACATGATCCGGCCGGTCAAGGTAAGATAAAAGCACGATCCGGTCGGATCTAATGACACCATCTTATGTCCCCCGGTAAATATCGACAATAGGGGACCCAACTCGGAAGATCATTCAGGATCATGACCTTGATAACATACGTCAAGGTCAAGGTCATTTGAGCTGAGTCCCCCTGTTGTCGATATTAACCGCAATTTTTTCTGTAAATTGCATAATTTCGTTGCAGTATCGAAAATACATGCTGCGTATAATACATTTGATATTTTTTCTTTTCAGGATGTCATCGGACAGCATATTTCTGGAGTGATCCTCTTCCACGAGACTCTCTATCAAAAGGCCGATGACGGTACGCCGTTCGTCGAGTTGCTGAAGCAACGCAACATCATCCCCGGTATTAAAGTCGATAAGGGCGTTGTTCCGCTTTTCGGCACGAATAACGAATGCACGACTCAGGGTCTCGACGACCTCCAGACGCGTTGTATTCAGTACAAAAAGGATGGATGTCATTTCGCTAAGTGGCGATGTGTGTTGAAGATCACGAAAGATACCCCGAGCAAACTCGCCATCATAGAGAACGCCAACGTGTTGGCCCGTTATGCTTCAATCTGTCAAAGCGCCAGAATCGTACCCATCGTAGAGCCTGAAATTCTTCCTGATGGTGATCATGATCTCGCCCGTTGTCAAGAAGTCACAGAAGAGGTTCTTGCGGCCGTTTACAAGGTATCGCAAGCTTCCGTTGAAAAAAAGAAGATTGTGAATTTTGCCCTTTACCCGAATTTATTATCAGATAATTAATATACGCTCCAATATGTATTTATTGTTAGGCACTCTCAGATCACCACGTATACCTCGAAGGAACGCTGCTAAAGCCTAACATGGTGACGCCAGGTCAAAGCTATTCAACGAGAGCGACTCCTCAGGAAATCGGTGCTGCTACGGTGACAGCGCTGTTACGTACCGTGCCACCAGCAGTACCTGGCATCACTTTTCTCAGCGGTGGTCAATCTGAAGAAGAGGCATCAGTCAATCTTGATGCCATTAATAAATACCCGGCGAAGAAACCTTGGGCATTAACTTTCAGTTATGGACGTGCTCTTCAGGCTTCTGTACTTCGTGCTTGGCAAGGCAAGACCGACAAGGTCGCTGCCGGACAAGAGGAGTTGCTTAAGAGAGCTAAGGTATGCAAAAATATACTACGAAATTAATAGATATTTAATTTATTCTTATTGCATGTGTAAACTTGAATTTGCTCCATCTCTATTCTCATTTTATTCGTTTTTTATTTACCTTTTGCATTTATACATAATTATTTACCAATTGTCTACCTTTGACCTCTGTTTTATTTTCTTAAGTGATGATTTGCTATTTTAACATTTAAGTTAAGAATTATTTTTACACTTTTACCTTATTTGTTGTATATACTCACTAGCTTTTCTTTTAGAAAAATAGTTTTGTAATTTTGTAGTTGTCGTGTTAATAGTCGCACTCGAAGCTACGCAAAGCTCCATACTTACGTTTGCATGTCTATGTAATGTGCGCTTGTTTAGGCAAACACTGCAGCCTGTCAAGGCAAATACATCGCCGGCAGCATTTCTAGCAAAGCCGCTGATATCTCTCTCTACGTCAAAGCTCACGCCTACTAAAAAAAATTATATTTTCCGCACAGTCCGTTTCTCGTGGCAGTAAGTACATAATAAACGATATGTACGTACGTATGTGTGTGTGTGTGTATTGGTTTTTTCGTGATCAATTCTTATTTTTAACTTTAAATAATCGTCATAGTAAATCGTCTTTTGTTCTCTTTATAGTACAATACGAAAATATACTTACTCCTAAAAAAAATGGTACACTAAAAATTTCGGTGAATGGCCAGACTCTGGTATAGGAACTCTAGACCACAATAAATGTGTCCTTTTCTACCTGAGCTTTATCTCCACTTCTTGAATGCACAGTCTAGAGATACTATATGGCTGCGTTTAGCAGAACATTTATTTTGCAACTGTTGGAAGTTTTCTTTGCACTGATTAAATTATACTTTTAGATCTAGAAGAATGATCCTATCTCAGCAGACAATCATAAAACGGTTGCACAACAGTTAAGTTTGCTAAATGCAGCCCATGTCTATGACATAAGCACATGTATTCAAAAACTATTTAACTGAAATATCTATTCAAATTTCTCATTATTTAATATTAATTGATGCGATTGCTATTAATGTCAATTATTTTTACAGAATTATTATAGAATTCTTCCTAAAATTCTTTTTCTGTTTGGAAGAATGATTCCATTTGTTTATTTGACATTTTCACAATTTTCTACAAGCTTTCTCAAGAAAGACATATCAATTGAGTGTGTCAATTATTATCGCAAGTACGTTTTCTGTTTTTCAATAGGCTAACAGTGAGTCGGCACTTGGCAAATACGCGGGTGGCGTGGCTGGTGCTGCGGGAGACACGACACTTTTCGTCGCTAATCACGCGTATTAGGTTGATCCATAAAGATATTCGATGCACTATTAGAAATATAAAATTACGCAGTTATTCAAAACACCTCGCAGGATCATCGTCATCGTTCCTTCTTTTGAAGTCGCGAAAACAAAAAGGATTCCTTTAAAGATGAACGAAGCATCTGAAGTTTCCAAGAAGATTGATCGTTCTTTTCTTGTTTTAACATAAATATTCTTAATTTAGCAATTGTTTCTTACGAATCGTAGATTTTTAATTGAGTTTTAACAAACAAATTTATGTTAATTTGTATCAATCGAATTAAATATTTTTTATTGATCCCACATTATATGTAATTAAATTCGCGATTCACAATCAGATATAATCAATAATTCGTAAATTGCATGTCAAATAAAATACCGATTGAAATTTTACCGAAACATTCTACAAATTCCCTATTCAACAGACAATTTAATAGATGATTTTATAACCAACGTATAAAATATCGAATTTAGAATTATTTTATAGCCTGGCTTACTGATTTCTGATTTGTTATCGATATTCTTGTCGCTGTTCACTTAGCGACTAACTTAACGAAATTCAATTTCACTGGCATTAGATGATCGATTAAATGAAGATCGAGGCATTGAGAGAACTCGAACAAATTTTGCGACACTCGATATTATGATACGTATTATTATTATAATATTCTATAATAGTACGATACAAAAGTAGATATTGTATATCTGTACACATATTTAAAAATGTCAATATAATATTCTTCGTGCATAAAATAAAACGAGTGTAAAAGATATCTAAACTAAAATAATTATTAAATGTTATTTGTTAGCGATTGTATCGAATATTATGAAATCATGCTATATTGTGTGTGTTATCTATACTTATATATACATATATATATATATACTACGTATATCTTACATAGATACTTAATCTATTGAGAATTATCTTGTATACATCGATGTTATATCTAAATATTTTGGATTTATTGTTGTAATCTAGGTCACCAAATACAACTGTGGAGGACAAAAAAGATTGTGCATGACTTTTATTTTGAAACTTCCTCTGAGGATATTATTTTGAAAAATTTCCGACTGATTAATTAAGTCTATAAATACATTCAGGACCGGTTGTTCCACCTTTTGATAATATTCAATGCGTAGTCTGAAGATTGAAAGATTGAAATTTGACCAATCAAAACAATAGGAACTAAAATTCCTTTGTCCTCACTGATCAAATTTTAATCTTCAATCTTCAATCTCAATCTTCAATGCGTAGTCTGATTCCGGTCTAATGCGGGGTCTACAATAGAAGTCGTAGCAGTCGTAGGGTCTTAAGTCGTAGAAAATTGACCAATCACAGTTGATTATTCTTCTCATATTCGACTGTGATTGGTCAATTTTCTACGACTTGAGATCTTACGACCGCTACGACTTCTATTGTAGACCCCGCATGAGGCCGGAATCAGACTACGCATTGAAGATTGAGATTGAAGATTGAAGATTAAAATTTAACCAGTGAGGATAAAGAAATTTTAGCTCCTATTGTTTTAATTGGTCAAATTTCAATCTTTCAATCTTCAATCTCAATATTCAATGCGTAGTCTGATTCCGGCCTTAGTTTTTCGTAGATATTCGTAGTGAGATATAGAGTGGCGTTGTTTGAGGAGGATTTCTAGGTTTTTTAAAGAAACAACGTCGCTCTAGTCCCACTACAAATATCTATGAAAAACTAATAATTTCTAAGATCTTCCCTCAATCTATGTAGTTTTTTGTAAAACATTTCCGCCAGAGATAAAATGTGTATAATACGAGCTTAATGTTAATACTTTTAAGCGAAATATAATAAAAATCACGCCCATGTAAGTAAACATACATATAATTGCAGAGATGAATATTTCTGATCGACAGTTTGTGGATATAGCACGATTATACGAACCAAAGATTTATCATCTGCAGTCTTGAAAAGTGGATCTGTGTATCCTCGGAAAAGTGGATCTTGCTATGTAGTTTGGCTCCACTTTGTCAGGGGGCAGTAGTGCGCGGCAGCATTTTACGGTTACAGGTTTTGAGCCATCATATCCTCTCTCAGGTTTCTCTCTGGTCTGTGAATGATTTCCTAACCTCAATAGTCGTCAACTTTAACGATCAATATCTCTGTTCCGGGGTCCGATCGCCACGTTTTTCTACAGGATTCTTTCGTTTTGAGTGAAAACGCGCATAATTTCATCAAAAAGTGAGATAGAGCTATTCTAAATAATTACCAAAGTTAGAATTAGAGATTTTATATCTTGAAAAGCAGTGGGCGAGTTCAAGACGGCAAAGCGGCTAGGCGTGCTTACCGAGCGATTGAATATGATTGGTTGGATCTATAAGTAACAACCAATTATGTTCATTTGCTTGGCGAGCAGGTTAGCCGCTTTGTCAACTTGAACGCGCCCAGTGATTCCTTTTACATCGAGCACTTGATACGCGTATTAACTAGTAACTTTCTATTAAATTATTTTAATTTCAGCAATGTATTTAAAGAATGATGTACTAAATTGATAGAATATGCATCAAAATGATTAATTAAATACACATATCATGTATATATTTACAAGTTTCGCCGAAATTAAGATAATTCAATAGAAAGTTACTAAGTTAGCGGCTACGTTTATATATACCTATATACACCGTGCATTTAGGCCGCGGCTTATACAATAGATGTTCTTGTTTATCTTGTAGGTTAAACAAAGACACTTATCGTATAGGTCGCGGACTAAGCGCACGGTGTAAACGTAGCCAATATCCGTATCAAGTGCACGATATAAACTAGGCAAGTGAAGATGTCATGTCACTTAACCTGATCCGTTCTGAGGCAGATCTATGTTAATAAGGACGTATCATATATTTAATCCGCATCAATTTGATACGCATACTAACCGATTTAATGGTGTAAAAGGGGTCAGATATCCAACAGAAATTGATGTACTATGAACCGACTGGATGATCTGCCAGGGCTCATGAAAGGCAGAAAACCATCTTTCATTGGAATGAACGGTACATTATTCTAGTTTTCTTTAACAGTATTCTATTCTAATCTAACTTTTTCAAATTATACAGCTGTAGTTTTTAATAAAGCTGACTTAAGACAAATGTTTAAAAATCACTTGACGTTAAATATTTTTATTTTAACCTATCTTTAACTTGTTAAGTTACATAATAATCAATTTTAAGTATGTATCTCGTCACATCACTACTAAATTAATTGATTAATTTTTCTCTTGATCTCACACATTTCAAAATTTAATATTTTATATAAATTTATATTGACAAAATTTTATATTTTAGGGGCTCCGGAGACAGATGATCAGCAGCGAGTACGATTTCAGGTTGAATTAGAGTTTGTACAATGTCTTGCCAATCCAAATTACTTAAATTGTAAGTAAGAATGATCCTTGCATTTTTTAGTTTTAAAAGAAAAATTTGTTTTATTTCTAATAAATATATTTCTAGTTTTGGCACAGCGTGGCTACTTCAAAGACACGACATTTATTAATTACCTTAAATATCTATTGTACTGGAAAGAACCGGAATATGCAAAATATTTAAAGTATCCTATGTGCTTGTATTTCCTGGATTTATTACAGTATGAGCACTTTAGAAGAGAAGTTGTGAATTCTCAATGTACAAAATTTATCGACGATCAGCAGATTCTGCTATGGCAACATTACACTAGACGTCGAACAAGACTTCTACAAACAGCTGCTGAGCAAACGCAACATACTAATTCTCAAAACAATGGTATCGTTCAACCTAAGGTTCCCTAAAGTTGTAATTTTATATTCGTTCCATATATTAATCCTCTACATCTGATGTTTTTTCCAATGTAAATAGTGCTTCTATAGAAGGATTAATTAACAGTTGTTGCTTGACTGTGATAATTCACAACTTTCTCACATTTTTACATTGAATCATATTCCTTTCGTATATAAATATGAGTAAATTATTTATTAAAGAAATTATTAAAAGAATTTGCTTCAGTTCATTTTTTTCCTAATCAGTTTTATTACATTACAATTGTTATATATGTGTATATGTTAATATGCCTAATAATAGTATTACATCTTTGTATGCGCTATGAAAATGTATTCTTTAAACGATCAGTTGCATATCGAATCAGTTTAAATAAATTTCTCGGACTGGCATTTGTTAAATATCCACTGGCATGTTCGGATTCCCATCTGAGTGCTCCCTGGATGTCATGTCATTCCAACTTGTTTAACTTTCGATAAACAACAAGGATGGAGTGATATCTGATTAGCACTTGGGTGGAAATCTGAATGTAGCCCAAAGATTCATTTTGTGTGAGAAGTTTCATTTTGTGTGAATATGATTGGCTCAACGATTGTTGTTTCATAGAAGCGCTTTATGTTTATTAAATATTGTTTTATGAGTGAATAATTTGCGTAAGGATCTCGTAAGACTAAAGCGGATTAAAGATGTTCATTAAATACGATAATTTTAGTATAAATCATTTCATTTTGTAAATTATTCGGTATTTTTATTTTCCGTAAAATTCACCAAAATCCCATTGCCAGCATCTACCCAATTCTCTGAAAAGAGTTTCTGTCTTAAAATTTGTCTTTCTGTCAAATCCTCTTCCTTCACATCACTTTCGGTATTGATATCATCACTCTTGCAATTATTCTCGTCGATTATATTCTCCATATCCATCACTTGATCAGGTAAAATTTTATTCAGTGTCTCTGGTAAAATTAAAACCAATACACCGGAGACGAGGCATAACATTCCAACGATTAGTAACGGCATCGGAAGTGATACATGTCTCTAATAAAAAAAGTTATTTGCATTTCTAATGACTGTATGACTCTTGATTAGCCAATTCTTGATTCGTCGGAGAATAGTATAAATTGAAATATCTCGCACTTTAAAGAAACTGCAGATATAAATAGAAAATTTCTTAAACAAGAAAAATGGATACGTACTAATAAAAGTAAATGCAGTATGGTTAGGCTGCCGATTTCTGCGGACATCACACATAAACCTAAGCAGCGACCTCGTATCACTGTTGGGAATATTTCAACAGTATACAAATAGACAATAGAAAGGGTACTCGTGACAGTCACTTTGCCAAACAGTAACATTGTCGTCTTTGCGATATCTGAAATAAAAACATTAAAAACCATACATGTGTCACACACAAAACAAAAACATCTACAATATATATATATATTATATATATGCTCTAAAATTTAGTAAAATTTACTAAAATATTATGACTGTAAATGTGCTACAATAGAAAAAGTTATATCTCTTTTATGTACCGATCCATGGTGCAATGGCAGTGGTTAAAATAAAGAAAGCCGCAATTAAAATACAAACAATGCCATTGAGAAATTGATATGTGCATATTGGCAGTCGTCTACCGTATCTAGATAATACAAAATATACAAATGTATTCGTCGCCATTTCAAGAGCTGCACTCAGGGCGAACATGATGTGCCTGTTAATCGGAAAACTCGGTGCCAGATCATCAAGTATGTTGCACGCTATTGTAGACGTCCACCTTAAATAAAAAATCATAAAGTCATAATTTTAAAAATATTAAAAACTTTGTATTATTTTATTCGAAGAATAAAAATAAACGAAAATGCAAAGGAAAGAAATCATTTTTTTTTAATTTTACCATTGACAAATCATTATAGCACCGTATTTTCTTAATATCGATGATTCAATTGCATTTTTCAATGTTGAGCTTATCTTGTTTGCAGCTTGTTTTGTGACGTTACTACCCGTTTTCTCTTCATTTTTGCTCGTTTTATCTTTCTTTATTTTACACAAAATTACTTCCTCTGTGTTTTTCGGAGAAATCTTTTGATCGTATTTCGATGGTGTAATCATCTTTGACTCTCGATCGCACTTTGAATTCGAAGGCAAATGCTGCTTGTTAAAATTTTCCGCTGAACTTGGCGTCTCTCGGCATAATTCTACGTTGAAAAATTTGTTTTTCAAGTTGATCGAATTGGCTTCCAAGGTTTTTCCTAAAGTAAATTTTTTAATATTAAATATTCGATTTTATATACAGGGTGAGTAAAAAATCCCGGACCGGTGAAATATCTCGAAAACTTAGCATTTCCGAAAGAAATGTTTCCTACAAAAGTCGTATGGTTTTAAATGATCCTATACTATCTTACATATACGGTCTAAAAATAAAGATTCTTAATATTATTTAAATGATCTATTCACTGAGCTGATCAGTTTTGGGTGGCGTCGCCAAGGTCAGATCAAGGTTACATCGATTTTTTTTAAATAGCACACCCTATCTTTGATTCCAGAATCTAATAGCTGCTGTCATGAGCTTTTCAAAACACTACAACAAAGTTATTTTTCATAAAGTACTTTTCGAGTTATAAGGCTTGAAAGTTACAGTACCGTCGGCATTAGCATTACGCTTGACTCAACTATTAAATTTATGAAAAATTAATAAAAATGGAACGAAGGCCATAATCAAATACGGCTTAAATTCTTTGTATTTCTACTAAGAATATTGGAGAATTTTTTTTAAAATGCCGATCTTGACGAAATCAACTTTGTTTATTTCAATCAGATTTTTCGAGTAAAAACAAAAACTTTAAATTTTTTTCATATTTTTTTCTTAATAGAGAATTTCAATACGAACAATTTGATGTGGTTATTTTATGTTTTTCAATAATTTAAACAAAAGTTATGTTCAACTAAACGTTTACGAAATAAAATAAATTCAAAAGATTAAAAAATTTATATCTAGGAAACTAATGAAGATAAAAATCTAAAAAAATAATTGAATACATGTTTTAATAGGAGGAATATATTAAAAAATCGACAGAGGTCGGTGATGAAGGCCGTCAATTTAGCGTGGAATGCCCCATATATATACATATATATATATATATATATACAACATATACTATGTGTTTATTATTTGTACCTATAATTTTTTGTTCAGTTAGTTCCGACTTGTTTAACAGATTCGTAATTTCTTCTTGCTGATTTTCATCAGCCCTTGTTTCCTCAAATTCGATGCTGATGACACGCGACTTTCTCTTCGGTTTTATCGGCATTGAGTTACTTTTCACGCATGCTTCATGCATAAGAATATTCTTCGTTCGTAATCTAATGCAACAGCTGTTATATATTGCGATTCTTTCAAGCGCCATATCAGCTTCTGTTGATTTTTCTTTAGCCAGCAGCCATCTCGGCGATTCCGGTATAATCCTGTTACATACGATGTAATGTGAGAAGAAATTTTTTTATGTATTTATTTAATATCAAATCACATAAATGTAACATTTGAAAGATTTCAAAAATTTCGGACGATTTTAAAGTATCTTGAAGATTTTCTGTTTTTGTGTTAATTGTAAGTTGTTCTCCCCCCCATCCTCTTTACTTTTCCTTACCAAATATACAGCACAGTGATCGCAGTGGGTACGGAAACAGCCAATTGCAAAATTCGCCAATCAGGAATCACGTAGCTGAGTATTGCGAGCAGTACGAGACCTATCGACCAGAAAATCTGCATAATCAATGCGACGAGAGTGCGAGATCGCGCTGGAAATAATTCCAGGGAGAGAATATATGTGGAATTCTGCAAGCCCTGAACGAATACTCCTTGAAGACTACGTAACACCAGAAACGCAGGATAGCTCTAAAGTCGCAAATTTTACTCTCCTTTAACATTTCTAATTTTAGTTCTTATACATTACGACTAAGGATGCACCGGATATACGGAAAATATCCGGAAAGAATCTGATATTATCCAGTACTTTTTTATTATCCAGTCGGATAGCCGGACATCACTAGTATCCGACTGAATATTATATTCGACTATATACTACATCCGACTGTATCGGTAATACAATTACCAATTAAAATTTTATATTGAAAATTTGCGTCATTGATGCATAATTCTATTCTTTTCAGCTGAGTTTCTTTTACAGTTCATCTTTTCTCTTTTTCTTTTCACGTTGAAGAGATAAAAGGTCTGTTCTTTTTCGAAGAATTCTGACCTAGTACTGAACTAACATAGTGCAATGAGTTAGAGTGAAACAAACTATACCTGTTTCACTTTAACTTATTACATTAGTGTACACTGATTCAAAACTTGAGATGGAAATGAACAAGCCTAATGAAAATTATCAACGCTATTTTTCTCACCGCTTTCCTTTTTTTAGAATTTTGAGGAATTTGTACTAGATATCCGGAAAATATCCGGTGTCACATTCTTTTCAGATATCCGATATTTGGTATTTGATAATTTTACAATCTGGTGCATCCACAATTAGAACAAGTAAATTAGACAACTTATGAAATGTTTTTTTTGCTCGAGTATCAAACCCACATCTCGATTAAGATAATTCATGAATGAAAAGAATTAATAAAGAATTATCAATCGTAATTTTTTTCATTGCGAAAAATTGAATGCAATAATACTAAAACATATAATAATAATATGGCTCAATAAATTTAAAAAAACGTAATAAAGAAAAATGGCTCGCAGTCCTTTTCCTTTATTGCTTTCAATAATACTAAACCACTTTTATAAAAATATAGAATAATTAATGTAAATTTAATTTTTTCATCTTTCAAATAAATTTTGTCATTTTTCCAGAAATATAATGATTAAATTCTCAACTTATCGTATGCTATTTTTAATATCTTGATAAGTTTTTACCTGCACAATATAGAGTGCGACCGCCATTGTGCCTTGCATATAAAGACATATCGCTTGGACCGGGAGTCTACCAATACGATCAATTAAAAATCCGGTGATCCATGCACCCAGAAGCACTCCTATGTAATAAACAGTCGGTCCAAGAGAAGATAGATATCGTTTCTCGCATACTAAACCCCATTCAGTAACTACGCTGTTCTCCATAAACTCCG